CATAAAGAGTGTTTCTTTCACTATGGCACAGAATTTTCGCAGTCACCCATTTGCATTCTGAACTGATGTGATCCTAAGGAGGCTTTTAGCACATGCTTTTTCACAACATGTAGATTAGCTCTGAGTTCTAGGAAATTAGCCAGTGATCTGAAATGATGCACATAAATGTATAAATCAGCCCTTGTCTTGTTGGGTTTTCAAATTCATGTCATGATACAAGCATATTGTCTTATTTGATATGGTACATGGTTTTTATTTTTAGTCATAGCCTGGCCACTACAGACTCCATTTTGCTGTACTTATTCCTTTTCTCTGCCTGTAACATTGCATAATTGATCCAGATGATATACAATCATTTCTGTGGGCTGTGGAGGGGCTTTTCTCAGGGCAAGAAGGTGATACAAGCAGATCAGTTTCACATCCCTTCTAACCACACAATAATTCTACGCATCTACTTTACTGCTATTATTACAGCACTTTGACAGTCACTTAACAATGAACAGATTTATTACCAATGTCTTATTCTACAACTAAAGATTTTTTAAAATCCTAAATCTCCTAATCCAGAATAGTTGTTGTTATTGTTGTTTTATTTAAAAAATTCTGTTCCTCCATTTTTTGCACTCAAGAAATAACTGTCATTAATTGTGATGACATTTATAGAACCAATAATTTGGGTTATCCCCAAATATTAATACTGGTTTGGATTCAGTGGTAATTCCCACAGGCAGAAGGGATTTCTGTTGGTAGAACTGGACTTTCTTTCCTCCCACTGCAGCCCAAAACTCTGCTCCTGGGGAGTAGGTGGCCATAAGTACAGCATGGGGGGTTAATGGAGGTTTTGTGATAGGAAAGTGTCAAAATGCTATTATGTAGCCTACCTGAGTTCCCAAGAAATGCTTCCTGCTCTGCCAGATCTGGTTTCTGAACACCTGGTTCAGATGGTGATGTCACATTCAGGGTAAAGTGCATTTGCTTCACGGTCCAGTCATATGAATGCCTATTGAAATCGCTCCAATATGGCATCTTCTTCATGATATGGGCATACCATGTATGCCATGTGGCTGTTTTGCATGGCATGAACAGTTGACATACCTGTAACCAATTACTGTTAATGATGCAGAAACTCTCCCTGTGATACAAGACTCAACACAGCAAATAACTCTACACAGTAAATCATAAATATGCACCATTCACCACACCAAAGTGATCTGGACATTGTCCATATGTCCAGGATGGGATAGAAAGAATGGGATGGCATCTGTTCTGTTAACACAGAGAAACCTAATAATACGATCTTACATTGCATCATGGAGGTCTAACAACAAATACACTAGGGTAAAACCAAATGAGCCCGCATGTGCGGGGAGGGTGGGGTATAAATTGAATAAATAAATAATTAAATAAATATAAATGCTTGTTCTTTGCCCTAGAACAAACTTCAAGTCCTGTAGTACCTTAAATATCAATAGTGTTCCAGGGTATAAGCTTTTGTGAGTCAAAACGCATTTTCTCACTTTCTCAGCTCTGTCTGCCCCAGAGATGGAATTAATTTGCTCCCCCACATTTACCCTCAGAATTCTATGAATTTTGATGTCAATAGGTACTCTATGAATATTGCTTAAGACTAATCAGTTATTTAATATCACTATTTGAAATCAAATTATAGTGGACATGAGATAATGTTTCAAAATTGGCAGTGTTTGATGGATAATATGCAGTAGTATTACTTAACATTTGAAATTATTAGAATTTATGAACAATGCCTGCCAATGCATTTGTTTTCAAAGGACTTTCAACAGACAGGTATAACTTTGTTTAAGATTCCAACCTAATGGTGCAATTTCCTCAGATGTAAGTCCCATTTTATTCACTGGAGCTTACTGACAGTAAAGTGTTCTTAGGTTTGCTACCTAGGAAATCTAAAACTCTTTAAAAAAACCCAAAATGTAAGGTTCTTTTTTAAAAAAACCAAATCCTTCCTTTTCTGATTGTTCAAGGTGGTTTACAGGTCACAATTAAAACATTACAATTGAAAACCAACAAAATATAGCCCCAGATAATCCCCTTCACCGAAAAAGATGCCTGCATTTGAACCCCATTAAAAGTCCTGGCAAATAAAACGGCCATGCAGTGTCTTCTGAACATTACTAAACGTGGCACTCCACTTACCTCCTTAGGGAGTCCATACCACATACTGGAAACTACAGTGTTGATGCCAGGTGGGCTACCCTAAGTGGGGGACCATGTGGCAGCCTAAAAACCATAGCTGGTACATGGTAGGAGATGGTCCTTTAGATATATGGGTCCTATGCCCAATATATGAACCCTCTGGTGCTCTAACTAAAATTTTATTCCTGTTAGTGGCTTAACCTTAGACACCATGCTCTGGCCCTATCAAATTCTTCCAAAAGGCGTGCAGATATAGAGTAGGATGTATGAAGGTTTAGCATGCCTCTATTGCCAGCTTATAAGGGAACACATGAAGTTAGAAGTTTTGGCCCCAGAGTTCATTATTTAGTCATCGCTTGATTAACATAAACATAGCTGATTAAGACTGCAATCCTAAGAATGGTCTGGGAGTAAGCCCCACTGAATAAAACAGGACATACTTTTTAGTAAACCTGCATAAGATTGCTCTCTAATTATATGAGTTTTACAGTGCCATTCAAAACAGTGTTACACCATTTTAAGTCCATCGATGTCAATGAGTTTAGAAGGGATTAAATCTGTTTAAGATGGTGATAGTAGTAATTACTAAGAGTAATTACAGTCATCTAGTTGACTTGAAGTCTGCATAAGTCTACATACAAATAAAACAATAGCTCTGAAGAAGAAAAACTTTCTACTTTGTTTTTAGAGGATGCACGTACATACCACATCAGGTACCAGATCAAAGAAGCTTTCCATAAAATTTGCAAGAGGAGGATCTTTTTTCTAAGATGGTTCCTGACACCCATAGTTAATACTAATATTAAAAAATTAACATTTTTTGAATGTCAGTAGCCTGATTAATTCAGGACTCCTTTTGAATTGAACAAAAGATTTTAAATTGACAAACCTAACTTATCAATGGCTAAACATTGCAGCCTTACCAATCATTTTTTAAAAAGGAAAAAAAGAAAGATCAGAAAGGACATGGTGGCATGAAAACATACTATTGATAATCTAGTCTTTGTCTCGAGGAAGTCTCCTTTCAGTTCTGGAATTTTCAGCGATTCTGTTCTTCCAAAATTCTACATATCTAGACTATTATTTAATGAATAAATGTTCTTTGCCCCTTAAAACACTGACTCTGTGCCTCCAGATTCCTGCATGAACAGAATGAAGTTATCTAGATAACCCAGAATTCCACAGTCATTCTGCCAAACTCATTCCAGACTCAAACTGCCCATCAACAATAATTCTAGATTCAGCAAAGCTCCTGTTTTTCCTCAGCCAAGTACACATCATGCTGAAGAATACCTCCTTAATCACTTTCTAGGTTCTGTATCTCATCATGGACCCGTTGCTATGTTACTGCTTCCATTGCCTATAAAAGAGGTTTGGATGTCCTGAGGGTGTTGCATTACCCTGTGCAAGAGTAAAACTGGATGAGTACATTCAATTTTCAAATTTCCTTCATTGTAACAATGTTAATTCCAAGTCTCCTAATTCCTATTCTTAAACATAACAAAAATGTTTTCAACCACTAATAGAAGGGTGCATTAAAGGTGGAAGTGAGAGAGGAACCCTAAACCACATTCACAGATCAGGGATTACGAGTCCCAATTAATGTTCCAGTTCAAGATCATTCAAGCATTTTCTAATATTTAACCCATGTCATAAATTGTGGATTCTGAATATTAAATTAGGTAGGGAAGAAAATACAACACCTTAGAACCTGATCCTGTGGTATCTTTCCTGCACTATATACATCTTGTATTCTCTGTGACTATTGCTCTATCCCCTGCTACTCCAAGTTCACACATACACGCACACGCACACACATACAAATACACAACAAAGTATTAAAAATAATTTTTTGTACGATGGTTTGGAAAAGATTGATTTAGGGGGAAATGATTATAAAAATTTTACTTCACAATCCTTTTTTTCCCTCCATATCACAGGCAACCATAATTAAAGACTATGGAATTCATGTAATGCTAGCCGTCTAGCCAGTCACCATCACGCAAAAAAAAACAAAAAACAACCCAACAAGAAAATAAAGAGGCGGGATTCACTCTTCCAATGATTGTCATTGAACATTAGTAAACATTCACAGTATGAAGTCTCTGTCAGAATATCTCCAGCATATAAAGTAGTGCAAAAAAAGCAATCCAGTCAGTTTGCCTCCACAGCCAGACCATGTTGACTGATTCTCTTCTTTCAGTTCTATGTATTACTCAACAAATGCTGCAATGTCTCCAAAAGAGTGTTATAAAAATAAACAATTTCTGCGGGTTCGGCAGCCTCTTCAAGAACTGGATATCCAGTATTTTTTTCTTAAAAAACCCATTTTAAATATAATAAGATTAAATTCGGACTTTCTATAGAACAACTATTTCCCCACCACAATCTTTAGCATTTTGAAATAAGTGACTATGGAATCCACTGAATTATGGTAGCTGTTCTTAAAGCATTAATAAATGAATACATGGCTACTGAACTTCATTGTTTCTTACATAGTAAATACCTTTAAATGCCAACTTTTACCACTGGGTAATGAGGGGCATGGGCAGTTAAACTCACCCTTCTCAAAAGTAAAAGTATCTCCTTCATGTGCAAAACACCTGCATTCTAGTAAAAATATAAACTTTGAAACTACTTCAGGTAAAGCCCCCTCCACAAGGTACATCATTTACTTGATATGTAATACAAGTTTACTAATGCTTTTTTATTCATACTTAACCAGTAATGGCATATTTCTATATGCTTGTTTAGACTCCTGTTTGCATATTTCATTTTTTTAACCAATGCACTCCTTAATGCATAAATAGGCTCAGAAACAGTCAAAGTTAAACGTCTGTTTCCACAGATTTTGCATTTATACAGTTCTGTTTTGCTGTCTCATTGCCATTTCCTGTGACCTGACATTTTTTCTCCTTTACACAAAGAGACTCTTTAACCCCTTCTTCCATCTCCAAATACTCTGATTTGTCCTCTGTGGAAGAAGATGATGAACTTCGGAATTTCTTGAGTATTGTCGGAAGGTACGGACAACTGACAGCATTTTGTGTCAGCTGGGTCTGTTCATCATTTTCAGTCTCTCTGTGATAAAAATAGTTAAAGTTGGAGACAATCACTGGCACTGGTAAAGCAATGGTCAACACACCTGCAATGGCACACAGGGACCCAACTATTTTACCACCCACTGTTACAGGTTTCATGTCCCCATAACCAACAGTAGTCATGGTCACAACAGCCCACCAAAAGGCATCTGGGATGCTTGAAAAATGGGTGGTGGAATCGTCAGCTTCCGCAAAATAAACAGCACTGGAAAATAAAATGACTCCAATAAAAAGGAAGAAGATCAAGAGCCCAAGTTCCCTCATGCTGGCCCTAAGCGTGTGGCCCAGGATCTGCAAACCCTTAGAGTGTCTGGAGAGCTTGAAGATGCGAAACACCCTGACGAGACGGATGATCCTCAGGATAGCAAAAGACATGGCCTGTTGACCATTGCTGCCCTGTTGCTGGGCCAAGTCTGTGCCCAGGGTGATGAAGTAAGGCAAAATGGAGACAATGTCTATGATGTTCATGATATTCTTGAAGAAGGCTGCTTTGCTGGGACAAGCAAAACAGCGCACTGTAAACTCAAAAGAGAACCAGATGATGCAAACAGTTTCCACAATGAAAAAGGGATCATTAAATATAGTGTGCCCCCCACCTTGCAGCTGTTGTGTCTCATTAACATTCTCCAGGTTTAGGTTCAAAATGAGCTCTTTTTCGTCTCTGAATTCTGGCAGGGTCTCCAGACAGAAAATTACAATGGATATTAAAATGACCAAAACCGAGACAATGGCAATGACTCGGGCCGGGCTGGAGCTCTCGGGGTACTCAAAAAGCAGCCATATCTGCTTCTTAAATTCATTTTCAGGCAACACTTTGTCATCTTCTTCCTTTACAAAACCTTCATCTTCCCTGAACTTGAGCATGGCCTCCTCTCCAAGTTCATAGAATTTCACTTCCTCACAGAAGATATCAAAGGGCACGTTTACAGGCCTTTTCAGCCTCCCACCAGACTGGTAATAGTAAAGAATTGCATCAAAGCTGGGCCGGTTCCTATCAAAGAAATACTCATTCCGGAGTGGGTCAAAAAACCTGCCCCGCTTTGCTGGATCACCCAGCAATGTCTCAGGGAACTGAGCCAAGGTCTTCAGCTGGGTTTCAAATCGTAGGCCTGAGACATTGATTACAACTCTTTCACAGCACTCATACTCACTGTAGCGAACTGATGCGTAGACCCCAGGCCCAGCCCCATCGTCAGGAGGCTGGTCTGAATAGGAAAAGTCATCTTCACCACCTTCATCACTGTTGCAGACTTTTCCTTCTTCCTCATCTTCTTCATCCTCTCCATCTTCATCTTCTTCCTCATCCTCCTCACTCAAGTCCTTCAGGATCTTCTCCTCGGAACCACTGAGGGGCAGCAACTCAGAGCAAGGGAAGGAGGCACCAAACTCTCTGCTGCCAAGATAATGACTCTTTTTCCACCTTTGCTTTCTTCTGCTGCTGCTCTGGTGATGTTCACTGTGTGTTGCATTGTTGCCACTGGAAGCGGAAGAAGCCCCACGACCCTGTTCTTGGTGATAGTGATGATAAGGTCCTCCTCCTCCAGAAGTCCCTGTTTCTACAGCTGCTGTCGCGGCTGCCACAGCAGCTGCTGCTGCCGCCCTGGACTGTGCCAGTCGTTCTCTTTCTCTGGCTCTTGCCTGGGCGGCGTACCCATACGGCATGTGGTTGTTGCACCCAGAGCTTTCTGCGCTTACCATTGCAACCTCCATGGTGTAACTGTTTGCTTGAAAGACTAAAGAAGAAGAAGAAAAGTCTGATTGTCAGTAGTCAACCACTGGCTGTTTCGCATGGGAATCTCTTGACCATTTAGGTTTACGAAACAATTCTTTGGAAATATTGTTGCAACCTATTAGCAAACCTGTATGTTCACTTTGCATGCTTCCGTAAGGCAAGTGTTCCATTTTCTTAGTGCCCATACGTTTTGACACAAATCACTAAGAGTTGTTTGGACATGTACAGCAAAATGAATTGTCCTCCAACGTTGCTAGGACATAGTCCTGGATCTGGCCCTCTTACATTTGAGATTCCATTGCTTCTGGGATTCTCCAGTGGTCTATGTAAAATCCACAGATCTGAGTTCATGATTTCCCATGAAGCCTCCAGTACAGAATGAGCCTAACCAAAATCAGCAAGATAGTGGTTCAGAAGTGTCAGGTTTTTAGATCTTGATAACAACTGAGTGCAAAATAGCCAGTATTCTCGGAATTTGCCTCCATCGGAATGCTTTGGCCTAGTGATCTGATTGCTGTTGAAGACTGTTGTTTAGAGAGTTGAAGGGACTCCCAACCATTGCTTGGTTTCCACAGCGAGGAGGTCTTAGCATTCTCACTTTCACTGGTCTGTCAGGAGTTCCTTAAATTTGGGAGGGCAACATCCAGGGCAACAGCAACTATGGCAAGAGAAGGAAGGGGAGGAGACGGTTGAAAAACCAGCTTTGCTGCATTTCCCATTAGCGACGACAGGCTGGATCACCTTTGGTTATTTTCATGCAGTAGAAGCACTTAACCTGAGATACATACAGTCACATGAACAAAAAGAAGAAAAGAACAGAGAAGGTTGGGTCATAGTCCAGAGAGGGCATTTTATAACAAAGCACTTCGATTTGCCTCCCAGTTCTTTAGTGCTGTGTGCCCACCCACACTACACACACACACACACTTTTTTTTTGTGCCTTGTATGCATCTCTACATTGGTCTATATATAGATATACTTAAAGTACTATGCAAGCATATACACACCCACATCTCGCTCCTGTTATCTCCGGGGAGAGAATCTCAAATGCAAATCTACATTGCAATGTGCAGGTAGTCCTTTATTATATAACATGTACAGAGGCATATGCCTGCATAGCATACAGGTCTGAATATAGAATAGGTGTGAACAGACCTAGCTGCACATCTAGGTATGACTTGGGTCTGCCTGTCCTCTTTCACATAGAGCTATTTTGTTACTATCTTGAGTATCTGAGTGGAAATCTATATTGCAATGTGCCAGCAGATCTACATTATATCCTTGTATTTCTGTGTGATAGTAAAAATACAAAGTATTTAGATGTGTGTGTATGTGTGCAATAGATCTGTTGGGTGCTTTTAGGTATGCAATATATGTATAAGCCACAGTTATGAGTGGTGTACATATAATGCATAACTGGATCGAGAGAATAATATGCATAAATATCACCCCACTAACTGCAGGCTGTATTCAAACAAACATCAGAAATGCACAGTAGTCCGTTTCTGCTGGCTTGCCAGCTACATCTTTAGAACACATTAGGTAAAAGAATGCCTCAACACTTCCTTAAATCAAATTATGTCTTTCAAAAGCAATGGCTGCAATTTCCCTGAAAAGACAGATATGCGACTCTATTAGAAGAAAAGGCACGATTGCGTTTCATGAGGAATACCAAACAGGCAAGGCAAGGAAGCTCTAACATGCGCTTTCACACACACACGCTTAACATTTTAAAAACATGCTCCAAACACTCCTAATCGATCATAGGTGTTAAAGGAGGGATAGAGCTTATCTACCTAACACCCCCCCCCCCAAGCATCATGCGGGGAGGGGTGCATGCCTTTCTGCTTACCGCTCTAGGCAGAGAAAAAACAGTGCGGTTCCGTTACGAGGATCTGGAAAGAGAGCGAGATCTTGAAGGAAAAGAGCGAGGTTTCTCAGAGCAACCTGTTTTCACAGGTGTAAGGCTCAAGGAAGAAGGGAAAAAAAGCTACAGGCGAAAGAGCGATTGATTTCCTTCGCTTCTCTTCTGTGCAAAGCGAGACAAGCTCCCGAGTTTGGATACAGAATTGAGGGCACGCAAACCAAGCGATCACTTCTTTCAAGCTTTGGTTTCGACAACATAGAGCCATCAATGAAGAAAATCCAGGTTTCAGTAGAAGTCGGGAGGGGGGGGTGATTGGGAGGGAAGAGATTTGGTGCTTGTCTTTTATGGTATCAGCTTATGGATGCTTGTGCGCTCGCTGCTCTTTCCCAGCCTAGCCTTGTGCGCTGAGCAATTGTTGTAAATCACCCGTTAAAAATAATCCCTCGCACCGAGCAGACTGTTGCTATTGACAAAGGAGATGCGCTGTGCCGTTTCCCCCTCCCTCTCCGGCTCACGCACACTTGAAGCTGTCTCTCCTCGCTTTGTGCAGTTTCGGCATCCCAAGTCACTCGCGCTGCGGGCAGCGTCCACTTGTTGTTGCTCTGGCTTTGTATGGGTTTGGGGTTTTTCCCCCGGTCTCACCTTCCTCCCCCCCCCACCAGAAAAAAAATTACAGCATAATCTGCAAAGGTCTTTCGAATTCTCCGGTTCCTTGTAAGCACCCAGTGCGCACCAGATAGTTCTACATTCTTATGGGAAAAAGTACTGTTGCTTTCCCTCTCTCACCCGCTGCCGTCTCCCGCTTTGCATAAGTCTCCTGCCCAGTTCTCAATTGTGTTTACGTATCTACTGAAGGACAAACGCCTTTGCTAGGTCTGATTTATTCCCCAGGTTTTTCGGCTCTTTATCGGCCCCTAGTGGTCAGCCCTCCCAGTAACACCTTTTATTTCCCTTTTTTTTCCCCTGTTCTTCTACTCTCTTGGCATTTGGCATTCACTCTCCGTATTAAGCTATTAATTATTGAAAGGAATATTCCAAAGCTAAATTATAGATACTCTAACTAATAAAAGTTTCAATTCAGGCTACTACGGGGCCTAGAATCCTTATTTTAAAAAAAAAACAACCAAAAACCCCAGATCCCACTATTGTGGGTATCAGAATTTCAGAAGAAAGCAAAGCAGAAAAGTTTCATAGGGGAGAAGCCAGAAGTGCAAATGATATTATATATTAGACAAGGGAAAGTCAGGCATGAAGCATGTCAGATTTCCCCCCCCCTCCCAGTCTTTGGAGAGAACAGAATATTGTAATGATAAAGAACAGAAAAATTGTATCACGTATTGGAAATACGCTATAGGGATGATTACTAGCAACATCCTCAGTCTAGAACTTGATGCTTAAGGTATGAGACCATCATGGCGCTGTCATAAAGAAGCCTGTATAGGCCCCTGCTATGTACTGAGGCACAGGGGTATGCTGCCTTGCAGTCTTTCTTCAACAAGAATGAAAGGGTAAAAGCATGGATGTGTGCGACTGAACAACAACAACAACAATGTATTGAGGCACAATGGTATGTTGCCTTGCAGCCTTTCTTCAACAAGAATGAAAGGGTAGAAGCGCTGATGTTTTTTCCACATGTAGGTAGGCTTGTGTGGTTTTCCTGTTGCTGCTGCATTTCCTGATTCAGTGCAACAGCAACATTATAAAAACATATAAATCAGGTTCTCTGAATTCCCAGCTTTTGTTTAAATATAAAGTAAGACATAATCCTTTTGTCACAGAGACATAATGGGACAGGCATATTTATTTATCTATTTATTTTTATTTATTTTGCGACTTGTATCCCGCCCTACACATAGTGTCTCAGGGCGGCTAACAAACAGGATGCAAAATTTAAGACAATAAAACAATGTTAAATACAAGCTAAAAACGGTGCTGCAATAGTTTACATAAATTAACCTAGATGTGCGACGAATCACATTGGTGGCAGAAATTCTTAAAAAGCATGAGCGCCAGGAGTGCTGTTTCCCAGGCTCAATCGGGCGACACCTACCGCCCCCTCACAGTGCGGTAGATGAAAGATGAAATCTCGGTGATGGAATAGTGGCGGTGGCGGCTCCTACTCAAAGGCCTGGCGGAATATCTCTGCGATGAAAAGGGCGAAAGGCTTTCCTTTGTTTTTTGTTTTACGTTCAGACTTAAGAACCTGATGGATACATTATTATAATGTTACAATGATATAATGGTATCCAACTGCAATTTTTTTTAAAAAAAAATGCCCCTCAGTGGTGAAGGGGAACAGCTGCTTTGGGGATTGGGGCAGCTGGGGGTGGGTGGTACTGGAAAAAATCCTCACTTTCCCACCCACACAGAAACCACCCAGACCATGATGTGGTTTAGGAAAGACTGGGAAAAAGCCAGGGAAAACCTGAGAGGTACGCAAATACACTATGATGCTGTGGAGAAGCAGGTAAAACCCCCATTTCTCAGCAGCCTCGAACTTGGAGCATCTAACCTGTGTGGGAAAGGCTTTAAGGTTCTAGATAACACCATCCATCCCTGGTCCTGATATTTGGTTTAAATGTTTAAATGTTTTTATATGTGCCACCTTCGGGACCCTCCTTAACTATGGAGGCCCAGGTAGCAGCCACTGCCAGGTCTGCTTTTTACCATCTGAGGCAGGCTCGGCAGTTGGCCCCCTTCCTCAACCACGACGACCTGGCTACAGTGATCCATGCGACGGTCACCTCAAGGCTAGAGTACTGTAACGCTCTCTACATGGGGCTGCCTTTGTCGCTGATCCGGAAGCTGCAGCTAGTGCAGAATGCGGTGGCCAGGTTGCTGATGGGCCTCCCCAAGTGGGAGCACATCTGACCTGGGCTGAAGGTGCTGCACTGGCTGCCAATAGCATACCGAATCCGCTTCAAAGTGCTGGTACTTACCTTTAAAGCCCTACATGGCCAGGGTCCGACCTACCTGAGGGACCGCCTTTCCCCGCATATACCCCCAAGAGCACTTCGGTCGGGAACCCAGAACCGTTTGGTGGTTCCAGGTCCCCGGGAGGTAAAACTTGCGTTGACCAGGGCTATATCCTTTTCAGTGGCGGCCCCTACC